TCTTCCCTAATCCGAGATTCCCGTTCCGCAGTGAGGCGATGAACGAGAATCGAAGCCAGTACTTTTGTCACAACTGGCGTTAGGCTAATACCCCTGTGGTTCGCACAGTCTGTGCGACTGCCCTTTTTGTATGTTGCCACTATAATCGATTCGCTCCAATTAGACGGCACACTCTTCGTTCCAGATACGTTCGGATAGGGAGGTCAGTGCCCTGCAGAGGACCTCACCTCCATCCTTAAATAGTGCAGGTGGGTGGGAATCCGGACCAGCGGCACGAAAACGGTTGAGGGCTGTGATCGCGTTTCGCACCTCGGCCTCCGACGGAGGCTCTAAACTAACCGTCCATGGCTCGTCCTGCATCACTTGAGTTGGAAGAGGTCCGGGAGCAGGAGGCCAGCTGAACTGATCTTGAAAGTGTTCCGCCCAAAGAGCCATACGGCGCTCCTTATTGTGTATCAGCGCACCCGCGCTGTCTCTGATTGTCTCACTGACGCCTGGTTTTCTGGGACCAGTGGTGCGGATTAGCTGGAAGAGCTTGCGGTAATTGCCTACTGCTCCTGCCTCCTCCATTTCTTGAGCCAGACAGGTCCACCAGGCTTCCTTGTCAGTCTTTTAATGTAGCCTAGCAGGAACCCTTACCCAGATTCCACCCATAAGCGACAGTGGAAGTAATCATTAAAAGGCATATCATGGCGTCTAGCCTGAAGTATAAAGAGAAGAACCCAAAAGAAAGTTGTTTAATTTGGATAGCAAAGGTGAAAGCTAGAGGTAAGCGGAGGTGAATTTTGGTGGCGTCTGCCACAGTGCGGTCGATCAGGCCATCGGTCGAGTAGGCCAGTGAGTTTTATATATCACAGCTAGTTGTACTTTCCTTCATAGTTGTAAATAGAAGGCCTGTGTGCCGAGCCTGCTTGAGTTCTGTCCCTTGACGCGACTGGGAGTTGCACAGCGCACAGGTAAAGAAATAGCGATACAACAGTGGAGACGGGAGTCAGTAGAAGCTGAATGTCAGTCAGTTTGAACAACTTCAGACTCTGTTGCAGCAACAGCAAACGCAGTTTGAAAAAGCACCGGCCAGGCTGATGGGAACGCTGATCAAGATTTTGTCACTACAAGCACACTCAGTAACAGGAGCAAGAGTAACAGAAACCTTGACCCAGCAAGTTTTAGAGTTCCGTTACGAAGCCGATGCCTGTTATTATTTTTGAATCGTGATTTTATAAATACAAACACTTGGTTAGCGTTGATTTAGCTGGTGTCTCAGATGACAAAAGAGTTCGTCTCACACTGCGGAAATTGGGTGCTGCTGAGCATGAAATGTTCAGGAATTTCATCTTACCGAGGAAGAGCACTGATTTGACATTTCATGAAGCGGTTGCTACTTTGTCGCAGATATTTGGACAGCAGTCGCCATTATTCAATATGCAATACAGGTGCCTGACAATGACCAAGCAAGACGATGAAGACTAGGTTACTTATTCGAGTCGCGTGAATAGTGAGTGTGAACGGTCGCTGTTTCCTAAGATGACTGGTGATCAGTACAAGTGTCTTATTTAAGTTTGTGCTCTTAAAGCGACCAAAAATGCTAATGTCCGAATAAGAGTACTGAGCAGAATTAATCAAAATCCCGAGGTCACACTGCATAAAGTGACAAACGAGTGCCAAAGGTTGATGAACTTGAAGCATGATGCTGTTATGATACAAAAGTCATCTACCCTGAGTAGCCAGGATATCATTTGCAGGGTCCGTCGAAGTCCTCAGAGAGGCTCGGTTCATGTGAGTTCAGCAGATTCTAAACCCCATTCTGCTTGTTGGTTTTGCAGGGAATGGAACTTTGCTCAAAACCGCCCGTTCCGGAATCACATTTGCAATCGCTGTGGTAAGCGAGGATACAAAGAGTCGCGTTGTCTTGCGAAGCGACCAACAGAGAGCTGAAAACGGCGTCGAATCCCGGTGAGTTTCCATTGTCACGAGGAGATCAAACTGTGACGGCGACTTTCAAGGTTGACGGCGTCAGCAGGCGTAGGTTAACAATGCTGAAGATCAATTATAAAAAAGTTAGGCTGCAGATGAATATTGTGTCAGACGTCACCTTGATTTGTCGAGACACGTAGTGTATGCTGGAACGATCACCGCTTGTCCACACAGAACAAACAGCACGAAACGCATCCGGGAGTATCTTGAAATTACTCGGAGAGTTGCATTGTCGGGTTGGTTTCCGCGATCAGCACATCTATACAACCTGTTTTGTGGCAGAGCAAGCAGGATTGAATTTGCCGGATCTCGATTGGATGGCGGAATTGAACTTACTTGACCAGGCTGTTAACAGTATATGCAAGAACTTACAATTACAGCCGCCGAATAAATACCTCGAACTTTACAGTCAAATTGCAGTACGGAAGCGACGCCAGAAAAGTTTGTTTCTACTCGGTCTTGGATGATGCCGGATAGCCAGAGCTCAGCTGAACCTCAAAGCGGACGCCAGACCAGTTTTTAAACCAAAACGTCCAGTGCCGTACGAAACTCAACCATTAGTAGATTCTGAGTTAAATCATCTGCAGTCGGAATGCATAACTGAGACCGTGCATTACTCGAAATGGGGAGCACCCACTGTTGTGGCGAAGAAAGGAAACGGCAAGGTGCGTATTTGTGCCATGTGATCATCCGCTGTCCTGATGTCATGCTTAATTTGTGGTCATCTGCAATTAGTAAGAAATTCGAGTGCAATACACTGTAAAGATCATTAAGGAATGTTAGGAATATACGTGGTCTTAGTACCGATCCTTGAGGCGTGCCACACTGGACGTCAATTGCGTCGGAAACGGAGCTACGGATTCTCATATTCAGCTAAAGCTGGGTGTGGAAGTTTCCGATCCAACTGAGCACATAGTCACTAATTTCTTTGGTTAGACAGCTGATGGTGACCTGAGTCCCGTGGAGGTGTTGGTAGTATTAATTCATTTGGCAGCTGGTTGGGTGGCCTGTCTCATGTGGGCAGCAAAATCGACGTGTATGTTGTCGGGCCTTTAGCAGTGTTCCATATGGCAAGTGGTTCCGGTGAAAAATGTATGGCGAACGCATGGTTATGAGTAGCTAGTGTAGCTAGTGTTGGAGCGGCTAACTCTGGTTTGTTACTCATATTTTTAGTTAGGCTACACTGTGCTGGATTGGAGCTTGCTGTTGAGTATCAATAGAGGTACTGATATGTCTGGTTCCTTTAGGACAGCTTTCAAGGCTGCTGCTTGCCATACAATCTTTACTGCCTATCGCATTTCTGTGCCAACACAATTAGACATCTGATGAGTGGAATAGACGTACACTCAGTGCAGAACCAGAGGGAATCAGTCGTACTATACTGTTTTTTTATCTGGCGGACAGTAAAGCGAGCACATCGAAGATGAAAATATTTTCGACGATTTCTGCAATCTATCACAAAGCGCACTAGTTTAACGCAGTTGTCTGCGTCGCGACTAACGTTTATTTTGGAAGCTTTAGGCTCGACGTTCCGTGGGCAAGCAGTATGTGCCATTGTAACTAACCTTGATGCGGATTTCATTAGTTGCAACGTCGACAATAGTAGCCTGAATCCAAACGCTGTCCGTCAAGCTGGTGGTCTGACTGACACAGGTTATATTGCTGAGGAACAACTCTAAGATGGTGGTCACAGACGGCGGTGGGCCAATCAGTGAGGTCACTGAAATTTCCCATAGAATATCCACCAAACTTGCACGGATGGAAAACAACACTAAAAGAACCTTATTTGTACACAATTCACATAAAGTAAACACTTATAACACAGTAGTATAGCGGGATGATTGTGCTCTAAATATCCGGCACTAAACTAGACGGCCAACCAAAGCCAGATAGTAGAACACAGAAGTTAAGTTAGGTAAAATGTTTATTGAACGGGAGAAGAGCTAGCTAATGTTAAAAATAGCGCACAAAGAGTGAGGATGTAGTTGTGCGTCCAGTACGTGGAGGGAGCATCGTTCGCAGTCGAGTCGCGCGCGCCAAAGGCGGATGTCGTGTTCGTTTTTTAAAGAAACGGGAACAACGATCCAGCAGACAAACGGCCTAATGCTCTCATACAAAAGGAAGCGGAATTTTAATATATTTTAGAGTAGCTTACGTAGCCATACGGGGAAATCTCCAGATCACTACAGTAGTTCTGATGCAACAGTAGAATCCAGCACGGTAAAGCAGAAATTCACGGAGTCCGCGGGTACAGCCGGAGAAGATTTCAATGGGAGATTTTGGTGAATTAATTCGGCTACAGGATTAGTGTTTATAATGGAAACATTGGTTGACGTTATACTTTTTCCACAGGCGTATGATTCATGAGACAGCATTTCTCAAGCTGTTCTATTTGGGGCTCTGCAACTGCTTCGTTTGGCTGCGCTCTGCGGTCTATCAAGTGCTTGCTTACTTCTTCACACTTTTGTGCACTGCTCCGATATCAAAACTATGACAAGCAATATAACCCGGTAAGTCTTCCCTCCCAAAACGCTTCCCATTTACTGCACCAGTGGAATTTTGACTGGTTTTCCTGTGTCGAGCAACTACGATTACACAAGTCCATAGAAGCAGACAATTCGAACGGTTTTCGGTTACTTGCATCCAAAAGACGCAAACGACCAGTAGTTAGAGTAAACACTACCCACTGTTCTTCATCGATAAGGTCATCTCGCTTTCTGGTGTTGTTTTGCGACCCAACTACCAAGCTCAGCGAGCGTATGAGCACAACTGCAAGCGTTCGATCGGTATTGTGTCAGCAATTTAAACCTCTTCAATAATTGTTTACCATCTGAAGAGGCTTTCACTTCGTGTAACATGACGAGCAGGACATTGGGAGCTCGTTTACAAGAGATTAACTTGGTCGTAAATTGCAGGTTCTAGTATGCAGTTATAACTCGTGAATGACGACTTACGAAACTTGCAAATTGACTCGGTGTAATAACAGATGCAGACTGTTAATTTTCATGGGAAATATTTTCACTCACCTTCTCGTATACATTCGAAATTCAGCCAATTTTATTGCAAATCCGATCAACAGTAACACAACGTCTCGCTCTACAAAATCATAGTGACGCTTGTACGCTGCTTCCCTTTTTCTTATTTTGTGGTTTGCCCATATTTCACGAAGCACGGCTAAAATTCCGGCTTCTTCTCGTTTTTTCTGTAACCCCCTCTCCTGAAAAATGAAGTACATTTAAGGGTAGATAGCATTCGAAGTAACAGCGGAAGCGTGTCCACGTGACCAGACAAATTCTAGCGAAATCTTGTCATATTACGCCACTTTTGTCAACTACTTTCTTACCTGATGACAGTAGCAAGAAATTTCAAATACAGATCGCTGGTAGCTCGGTGATGAAAACTGAGATGGGATGCTGTGAGTTGAATTTTCAATAATATTATCTATGTATATGTGTAGCCCTGCGTTCAATTAAGCAGTAGCAATTCTACTTTTTATAAAATTATAAGCCAAGTTCGGATGACTTGGATCCATGAAGGAACTAACAGTTTACTCACCCTTTCAAGGTCCATTGCAGCCTGAAATTCAGCTTCACGCCTGGCTTCGTATTCCTTTTGGCGCTCCATTCGATTCGCTATCATGATCAACTTTTCCTGCTTGACTTGTTCCAGTTGGACCAGCAGACGGCGCTCCAGTTGAGACTGTCTAAGTAAACACTCTGCAAGCTGCTGAGATCGCCTTTCCTCCTACAGTTGGAATTGGTATCAAGCAAGTCAGGGTAAAATAATTATAGTTGTTACCGACACATCGGCGGCAGATTAAAGCAAAAGCGCAAGACTCCCGGATGAATACAGATTTCAAAGCCAGAAGTGCGCTATGGTGCTATATTTACAAATGGTTAGGGGCAACAACTTATTTACTGATCTCGACAATATCCACAACAAAATGTACAATAGCTCTGTTCTCAAATTAAAATCGGACGTCAAACTAGGTCAAATGCAGACAACAGTCAACTGAAGTCCAGCCAGGTACACAACCGACTAAGCAATACAATCCAACATGATTTAAAGCAAACCGAGCGACAGTCAAATCAATCTAGTACTCTCCGTTGGTGTGTATCCAAGGTGGAATTTGTGTTGAGGATATAGCTGAAGGAATGTGTGTTCATCAAATCGTAAAATGGTCAGCGGAGGTAAGTCCACAGAATGTACAACGTTGAGCGTGCCGAATGGAAACAAGTACAACCACAGTAGGGGGGCTTGCATGTCTTTGATGGACTTCTAGCTAAAACGGTAGGTCAGAAAACCAAAGGTATACAGAGATAAACAGGAACGTGTTTGAACAGACGAAACGTCCGTAATAGTAGCCTTTTCCATTCTGCACATTTGAAAGATGCTTCAGATAGTTCCTCAGATGATAATAGTCACTATACCGGATTGATCCTTTTAATTAATCGCAGTGCCCGTGATGTCTGTTCACAAAGAGCTACATTTCTTGACCACAGACTGGAAGGGTTTCGCAGGATATGCGCGGGTGGTACAGGCTCTATAGCTAGTGTGTCGTCCAGCTGCGTGAATTTGTCGTTGTACAACTGGGTTATATTAACCACTATGGATTTTACATGTCGTTAGGGTTTGAAAACATGGTTTTTCAGAGTGATTTTTTAAATGGACCGGAGCGCATTACTATTCGCAAGCGTGTGCACATACTAACATATATCATCAAATTTATGAACCGCGTTATAAGAACTGCTCATTTGAATAATTAATAGTCCAGTTGTTTAAGACTCAACTATAAATTAAGATGGCTGCGTTTGATCCAAGGATTGAGTAAAAATATCGGGTGCTCAGTTCCTCAAATCTGACAGCTGCATACATGCTTAAATGAATGATCCGTTGCCTACCGAAATTACAGTGTTCAAATATGATGTTGTCGCTGTGCGGCACTTGAGCAATTTGCTTCCTGCGTGTTCGTGTTCCTGCATGCCTTCGTAAGCGTTTTAATGTAAAGTGCGCAACACAGTTACGCTCAGAGATTTGTGCTACAAAAACATGAATCATTTATTTCAAATGAATCAAATTGCCTCCTTCTGTTGCAATGGAGGTAATCATGCAGGTGGAATTGCATCACAGCTGAATACAGCCAGACAACCATCACACGCCTGGAATAGTACTGAACGGCCATGTCATTGTTTCGGGAAGTCACCAACAGTGCGCACTCCATTCAATCGCTGTAGTGTCGCAGCTGGACTGTTGCCAGTCTGTGTTTGAGCGCACTGTGCTACGTGGACGAAAACGACCACCGTGGCTAAGCTAACGGATATTATGTAGCACAGCTCACTATCCAGTGACTTGCACCTTACTACCGTGCAGAGGCAGGGTAGCACTGTCACCAAACGATGAACTTGCTGAACTCAGAGGCGTAACATAGGGGGGGGGGGCGGAGGGGCGGCTTGCTGCATTTCGACAGGGACAGCGGCGGTAATTTTAGTGCGTGAATTTTAATCGTGACTTCTACTTTCTACAAATGTTAGTGCCGTCGATTTTTCCATACCAAATATATTGGGTAAAATATCCGATTAACCTGAAGGTGGAAGAGTTTAATTTTACTCCGCATGACCAATAACACTTTTGCGTTACGTGTCGCACCTGTGCAAACGTTCTTCCCAACAGTCCCATTGTGGTCGCTTTCACCACATTTACCTCAACGTACCAAACGATCAATCATTACATCGAAAACTAATGTGCGCTTTATCCTGAGCCGATTGCGTGACCTTCAAGCATCTTATGAATCTCGGCCAGTGCGGGAATTTCGCCCCGCTCCGGGCAGCAAAAGTAGTTGCTACGTCACTCGTTGAACTGAAGTTGCCAATTAACTTATTGCTCACAGGTGTCAGATAGAATACACACTGTTGAAGATTCCAGAAAACATAAAACAGCTGTCCGTTTCTCGTTCCATCGTGTGATGGCTTTCTGCCTAAGTCTGGATGTAATGAAATACAACTCGGCCTTTTGCACTTCTGCTAAGCTTGTCAAAGCATTTGCGCTGTTCCCACACTACAGTGCTTGTTAAACACGAAATATTCCACCGTAGACACAGATCTCCGTGCCAAA